GTTTCGTAGGCTTACTTGACTGCAGGCCGTGATAGGTTTCCGCGATTACCGGATCCTCCATTCGCCATCCACTATCGGATCGGGAGCTAGATCGCAAACTAGATGTTCCACCCGAATCCACGGTTCCATAATCCGCAGTAGTTTTGCGGTCGTATCGACTACTCCATCGTCGCACCCGTCCTATCAAATGTTCCAGTTGTTTTTGATGCTCCTGTTGTAGTTCGCTGAAATTTGAAAAAAAACATCAAATTAGTTTATCGGAAGCTTGAGAATCACAGTGAAATTTCACGTCTTAACTCTTAAATTATCCTACGAATCATCAAGGCACCTAATGCCGCAGTCTCTCATAGGTTTCGGCTATATCTCTTCATATTTTATTCAAAATACCAACGAGATATTACAGTTCGGATGGTTTTCACATTACTCGCTACCTGTCGTTTCTATGTGCAATCCGTTACCGGCGTGTACTCTGCCTTTCATGTTATTGTGGAGCATATGAATGACTGGACAAAATTTCCCAGAAGTACCTGATACAGAATCATTGCGATGATTCTTCGAGACTTGCTCGTCTCAAATCCACTCCCCGAGCTGCCAGTGAGGTCTGAATTGCATATGTATATACTATCTAACAGAAGGAAAATAGTAGTAGAAAAAAGCACGATAATATAATCAACGTGTGACTATTTGTGGGGGGNAGATCACGTACTTACCTCATAATGGCCAATTCGTCGTCCAGTCGTTTTCGATCGGCGTCAATATCTTGCAAGTAGTGAGTCATGTGCTGTCCTAAGAACTGGGATTGTACATGCAGACTCTCCATTTGGTTCTCGTGATCTCTGAGACGTAGCAACGGACTGTGCATAGCCACAATATCCTGTTCACGTAGTGTGATTCCACTCTCGGATGAGGGCCGTCGTCCTGCGGTCCCACCGCCTACGAAACAAAAGAACTAGACCAGTCAGTCAGTGGTCGACTGAATACTATTGGTTTATTCACACTATTCGCACTATGTTAAATTGTATTTTTGTAAATGAATATCACGGAATAATTTTGGCCCTGGCGGTTGAAGGTTAGATTAGTCCGGCAAGTTTGGTCTTTGGTTCGTTTGTTGCTTGACCTGCTGCCGAAGGAAGTTAGTTTCTGGCTGAAACATTTGAAAAACTAAACTTTCTTTTACTTCCTTTTCAATTTATTGAATATGCAAATGTACAGTCAACTTTCAGGAAAATGGCTGCGGCCATACAAAGACTGTCCGGTGGAAATACACTAATAGGCCGGTGGTGAAGCGGTTCGAACCCGGGCTCCCAGGTCACAAGTTTGTGAGTTAACCACTTGGCCACCACCGGTCCGACTGAATTTCGTCCACAGTATGTGTGCATAAACAATCATGCTAATTTCGTGTCTGAGTGTGGGATGAATATTTATTTTGATACAACTGTTTTATTCCAGTTTGGTACTATTTATTCTCAAATAGCTGTGTCCTTTGAACTATGGTTGATGTTAATGTGTCGTTCAACACGAAGGAGCAACGTACCGATAAACCAGTCTCATACTCGTCCTTGTCATAAAAAAATTTTTCCAATGAAGCGCCAACGTACTACAATTGTTTTGGACTCTACGGAAACAAATACTAATGTCTAACGGTCTCTTCACTATTGACCGCTCACTTCGTAATCGGATTACATGTGAATACAGTTTGGATTGATTCCTTTTTGCCCGGTAAGGAATTCAAGCCGACTGTTTGAATCAAAATGAGTAACACATACAAGTTTAAATCATAAATATCTAAACGAGCAAATTTACAATTCCCATGAAATGATGTTCTGCTAACGCCAGCGGACCATCTGAGTCCCGGATGAACGTTTCCTTCTCGGATAGTCCCATTTCAGTTGTCCTAGCCGAGTCACGTTATAAGATGGAGACGTTTCACATGAGCAAATTGTCTTCGTTTGTGGTCTCTCCGGGTTCAGATTAGAACTCGAACAGGACCGTATTGGGACGGTTAATATTGTGGCACAGACCGCAACATCCACGGGTGCGAGTAATTGACTTGGTGAAAATAATTGTGCGTTTTGTATGGCATGTCCTTATTTGGTGGTTGTCATTTACAATCCCAACGACTATATGATAAACGGACTGCCCTGCATTTTATAGGATCATTTCATGGGTCTTAGTTCGAATACTGTTCAATCCGAGCTTTCAATGTGGTTTGTTTATCGAAAATTTTCTTTCTGCGCGGAGCTGAACAGAAACTTCAAAAAGAACGCGTCACTGAAATGCAGGTAATGGTACCAACTACTGCAATCATTAAACTATCCAGTTTCTGAATACGGTCCTCACAAGTTTGATAAGAATTCCAAAGGGCGACTGCTTATTTTCCTCCATATTTCATGAAGGTTATTGATTGGTTGTTACACAGCATCATTGTGCCATATAAAATCGCGACTTCTTCGTCTGAATTTTCAGGATTCACGGTTAACGAATATTAGTCAATTTCTGCGCTCCAGTCCTAACAGGTAATTACTTTCCTTCTTCACTGCCCCTTCTCGATTAAATCAGATGATGTATAGTTTCTAGTTTATTTGACGTAACAGTATTTCGCTCTATCGCCTTAGCTCGGAGCCTTCATCAACATTTTAATCAGTCTATCCGTTCACAATATTTCAGTTCACCTTTATTCTGTCATTCCATCTACCGTTTCATCATCGACTGCCCGATAGCATTGTCACATTTGCTTGCTCTGCTTTCTTGTCTCTGTCATCCTCATAAACTGATCTGCGATCGCCTACATCACACATATACGACCGCCTGTTGTGATAAATCAAACGGCGATTTCTTCGCGCGCTCACTGTTTCCTAGTAAGAAAGATGAATCGCATTAAGCTCCCTGGAACCACCGGTAACACACAGGTGGCTGAGTAACATTAGACGTGTCTTGTTGTGGGCACACGTGGGTCTCTATCTTTGCTTATCCTGGAATGATTCTGTCTGTAAGTTGATTATTACATTTTAGTGTATGAAAGTGAAGAATGATCCTCGCGCGTGAACGTTATCATTGAACAGTCTGAAAGTCCTAGCAACGAGAAACCCCGACAGCGATGTTGCTGCACATACATTACATGCTAATAATAGTAATATATGATTGATGAATGAATCAATTTGAGCAGCACAGTTCATTTAATTAACCAGTGAACGCGAATGCCTATCAGTCTGTCATTGATTGATCTTGAAAATAAATTAACCGGTAAAGTAAAGGCACTATTCACGATTAAAATAGACCGAGCAAAGTTTACTTCCGCAAATGTTCGTCAACGGAACCGGGTATGCAAAACTTGCATCTAGGGCAGAAGCTGTCACTTACGATCGATCAGTTTGAGACGATCAGTGAATCGATCAACAGTTTGTTTTAGCTCGGCCCCGGTTGCATCAGATGACGTGCACAGGCTGTCCAAATCTTGCAGGAATTTTTGCATCATCTGTTTGTTTGTGTATGTGATTTCCTACGGAAAGAGGAGGACCGAGAAAATTTTAAGCTTATTACCTGTCTGTTCGCAATAAAAAAAAAAAACAAATGGGGGATTAACGATCAGAACGGTTTGAAGTTTGCCAATCATATTGGTTGGATATCTTATAGTATATATATATATATATATCAACAAACAAGGTTATTGTGGCGAGAATAAAAGTAAAAGTATGTGAATGAACTGACAAAAGCTTGCCGAATGCGCATGCCTAACGAGTGGCAAGATCCGCGAAACTGGTCCTGTGCTTCCAGGGGAATTTTTTCCAGTCATTCACATACTACTTATTATGGTATATATTTATATCACTGGTTAATTTCATGAGGGAATTGGTCCTGTATAGAGCAAATGATGCGTGAATTGAAAAGCTACGAATCACTACTGGACATCTGTTTCGACCCGGTTGGGTCCCATCAGTAGCGCGCAAAACCACCGACCCAGCTGGGGATCGAATGCAGGCATGCTACCCTGATTGGGTTGATGGATTCGCCCTCTGTGCTGACGAGACCCAACCAGATCGAAATAGCTGTCGAGTAGTGCTTCCTAGCTTTTCAGATCGCGCATCATTTGCCCTCTCTGCACGACGAATTCCTTCATAAGATTGAATTACATCCTTCATTGCTCTCATGCATTTTGGTTAAATTCATGCTCTTATAATGAAATGAAATATGACCATCACTAATTCTTTGAATGAAACCAATTATTTGGATTCATGTGAATCAAGGTCATCATATTTTGTGGGAATTGATAATTTTCGTGAATGCCTTTCAGGACGAATCCAGTTAGGTTGACTAGGGAACCGAGTCTTGGAGTATTCTGCATCATCTGGTCTATTGATCTAACTGGTTTGAGTAAACATGCACAGAGTTGCAGTGGAAATGTTTGTGATAACCGACAAAGAGCACTGGACAGCTGTTTTGTCCTGTTTGGGACTCGTCACCAGTGCGTACCTTTTGTGTCCCTGTCAGGACTCGAACCGTGAACATTCGGGTCGGGACTTCAAACCCTTATCCTTGGGCTACACGGTCGACGGTCATCATCTTGTGCGAATGGCTCAATCAGTTTAGAGTTTCAAGCTTGGGTTAGCCCACGCGATTGTTCAGAGGCACCAGGATGGTCTTGGGTGTGGTTTCACTCCTTGGGAGATCGTTAATTCCTCATGAGGTAAATGCAGTTTTTCATTCGTGAATATCCCTAACGACGAAAATGAGGTGTAACAATGTCATTTTATCAAGCAAGGTTTTCCATCACCGAACTTTGTCCTTATCAGTAAGAGCTCGAATTAAGTGAAAAACTATGAAGCTTTCCAAAGAGTTAAGAAATAATAAAAAATGATGAATCGATCAACTTAACAATATTTTGAAAGAGCAGCATGTTGAGGCTGAGTTCGATCAGAAAGAAACAATATATGATAAGTGTTTGACCCGAAACTTGGAAATGTGACTTATGATCGGTAACTTTCGACTCGTTCGCTTGGAGTCTATTTCATGTAGACCTGGGAATGTATTAGGTGGACAGTTGTTGGATTATTGAGAGTAGAAAAGAAAATCTCATCACTGGACGAGAACCAGAATCACTTTGGATTGTGAATATGAAAGGATAAAGTGTGCAGTTCACAAAAAATGTTCTCAAGTAACCCTGAAAACAATGGTCTACGGGGCTAACTTCGGATGCCACATGCCTCTGTAAAATAGATGGATAATTCGAATGTGAATAGATCAGTGCTAACGGTTTAGCTCGGTGGGTAGAGCGTGCGCTGCACAAAAGCGTAGGCGGCGTCCATGCGTGGGTTCGAATCCTACCGAGGCTACTGAACTTTTCACAATCGCCATACAAACTTCAGATCTGCCAAACAACAATTATAAATTCGGTCTGTCACGCATCGAATTCGGTCAGGTTGGAACGTTGTTACTACGATTATGGGTTGACGAGAGCATCTCAGCTGATTCAAACAATGTCCCCACCCCCAGATGGATTGTTGTGCATTGGCGAGTAAAACAGTTATTATGTGTAGTATTCAAACATGCCATACTATTGGGGCTTTGAGTTTCACAAATGACTGCCCCATGTGGAACACCGTAATCTGGAGGAAAGCACAGACAAGAATATGTCGGTTCTGAGAGTGGATGGAATTCGTTCGCTCTGTTCAACCTGCCCGGTCGAGGTGGTATTCAGTCGCGTGAGAACCTGATATATTATTATAGCTTTCTCCATGTTAGCTGGCAGTCGTGTTCATTCTGTTCGTAAAAACCCATTTTCCGACCGATGTGAAATAGACACTAGTAGCGATACAGTTCAACTTCGGAGACGGTGAGCAGCACGGTCGTATCATCGGTTTCGGTGAAGAGCCATGAGAGTTGAGGCTCATAACTGATAACTGATAGATTTGGTTAGGAAACGGGTTTTAACACAGGGCAGCAACTTTGACCATACCACAGCGATTCGTGTTGCGTTTTATAAGCTTGATGTTATAAAATCGGCTAGAGAAATAGTGTTTAGGAGTTTAAAAACAACTGAGGCCAGTTTAACAGTCTGAAGAACCTCATTGTGGCTGATTGTTTCTGTTGCATTCCAACTGTGCAAATGGAAATTTACTTGAAAAATTTACTTAATTGAGTTCGGATTGGCTCGTGGCTCGATGCGGTTTGTCCGTCATCTCAGCCAGTGTTGCTCGTAAACCGATGACGCAAACAGACAGACAGACACACTTACTGCCTTTGGTCCATGTGTGTGAGAAAGAGGTTGCAAAACCCCGAATCAATATATTGCTGATGTTTTTCTATACAGCTTTGTTCGGTTCCCGTTTGCAAAGATTCTCTGTTCATCACGTTCCGGGTGAAACGCAAAACAAAAATCGTGCTGTCCAGTCCAATGTGTTTTTTTTTCTCGGTCACTGGGAAACAGTCTGTCACTCTGAGAAATCGTTGTGCTGATCACTTCGCTTCCATTGTGGAAGTAATAAAAAATAATCACAACAAAACACGGTAGATTCTCGTAATGCATCTGATGGGTTTGATCATAGGTGTCATACTCTTCCTTAGAAAAAAACGGGTGGGGTGGGGTGGGGAACTGTGCATACGTTCGTGATTCTCACTTACTCCATCATTGATCATTCGATTTAACAGACGAATGTAGTGATTTCGTAGACGCTCCCGCATGCGTTCCACCAACAGTTCCCACCCTTCGATACACTTCTCGCGTACTCTGAGATGGTGGTCCGCGTAAT